TTTATGGAGGAATTAAAGGGGGAGGGTGTTCTTATCTCTGTTTGCAGAAGACTTGACTCAAGATTTTGAAACTCAAAGGCATGTTGTGCCTTGTCTCCTTAGAATGATCACACGCCATGCTTCAGAGTGTTGGTCATCTGGATCCTTCTCCCTTATTTTAAATATGTCCACTTCACCTAGCTTTTTCCTTTAACATTCTCCTTTCTGTGTTAGCCAGTTACTGGTCACTGTGATGAAATAACATAGGAGGAAAATCTGCCTACAATATAAAATGGTCAGGTTTTGACTCCTGGTTTCAGAGGATTCGTCCCTAACTACCTAGCTCCATTGCTAGAACATTGTGTGGCATGGAACAGGTCCCAAAGTAAAATGGCTCACCTCATGGTATTCAGGAAACACAGAGAGGGAGGGAGGAGGTCAAAGAGAAAGACACAGCCTCCCTGGGCAAACTCCCGTGGATCCAATCAAGATCTCTCTTGTTGGCTCGGCAGTTAAGAGCACCCCAGTTCAATTCCCAGCACCCATATGGCAGTTCAAAACTGTCTATAACTCTAGTTCCAGGGGACCTGACACCCTCACACAGAAACACATGCAGGTGAAACACCAACACACACAAAAGTCAATAAAGTTTTTTAAATTAGTCTTCACCATCTGCCATGTCCATTCAGCTATGAATCTGTTGACAGGTAGATTGATTGGTCAGGTGAAAGTCCTCATGATCGTGACAAATGGCTGCAGAGGAGACATGTATTCCACATGAGTCTTCGGAAGCCCTTTCACACGGAACCATAGCAGCTTCCCTCTTAACCTCACCGAGCCTCCCAGTGTCTACTCTTCTCATTTACCCCATGTCCATATCTTAAACATGTCTGAAAACCAACATGGATCTTTGTAGGAAATGTCCTTTGGTGAAGGGGCACACCACCCCACTTTCGGCTGACCCACTTGTCCTTGGGAAAACATTTAAAAGAGCCAGATGATTACCAGAAGGCAGAAGAATGAAATGTACTCCACACTGCCACATTAAAGAGACCTAGTGACCTCCCCTTCCAGTCCACCTTTGGGATCCTGAAGTGAGGTTAAAATACAGGGCCAGTGATGGGGGAATTCCTTCTGTGTATATGTTTGTCTTATTGGTTGATAAATAAAGCACTGTTGGCCAATAGGGAAGCAAGATAGGTGGGACTAGGAGAGGTGGAGGATTCTGGGAATTGAAGGCACAGTCAGTCACCATGTATATATAACTCGAGAGGAGGAGGAGGACCGGACCCTTTCTCCGGTAAGAGAAGACCACGTGGAAATACTCAGATTAGCAGTTATGGGTTAATAAGTCAGAGCTAGCCAATAAGAAACCATAGAAAATGACCAACAGTTTCATAATATTCTGCATGTTCATTTGGGACTGATGTGACTCCGGGACCAGGCTGGTGGGAAAAGTAACAGACCAGGGCTACATCTAAGCAGCCCCATCCCCTGTGACCCATCCCTGTCTGAGTTTCAGCCAATCTGACTGGCTGATGGACCTGTGAAAGCCCTTTTCTGAGAGACAGGTTTGCCGGCTGACTAGTGCCAGACTTCCAACCATTTCCGTGTCTCATCATGACATTCCTGAGCAAATTTCCCTTTGTGGGGGTACACTGCTGCAATGGTTTAAAAAGGCTGAGGGACAGAGGTGTCTCTTTAGCATATCTCTGCTTCTGCTGGACAGATTACAAAAGCAAATTTGTGGGGATTTGGAAGGACGGCAATGTGGTGGCCTTGAAGTCCCCAGAATCCCAGAAGACACAAGCACTCAGCATGATCCTGTCTCACCATTCCCCTAAACCTAGACTTCACACACGCAGAAATGCCTCCCTCACAACCCAGCTAAGCACACTCACTGAGCAATTCTCTACAAGTGAATCATTTGAGGGGATTTCAGCACCTATGAAGGTAGCTAAATGGCCAATAAAGGAGCCGCTATGGGCTCATAGCAAAGGAATTATGAACACAGAATCTTAATTTGGCCTCAGTATTAAGGATTTATCACCCTTGAACAGAGTAGAGACTGTAAGTTTTATTCCCACACTTAATTAAATCACAGTGCGATTTTTAAAAATCCGATAATTAACAAAGATGGGAGAAATCTGAATAATCTAATTTTCAAATGTTTGATTCCTGGTACTCATTTGACCTTAATTTAGAAGAGTCTCAGACACATTGCTCCATTAGTCACAGCACTATTCCATTTGCAGTATGTTTTGTTAATAGACTCATTTTTTTAGCAGTTTTAAGTTCACAGAAAGCACATTAAAAATGCTTTAGAAATAGCATTTGGAGGCTAGGAAGATAAGTCAGAAGTGTACACATGCATGTGCACACACACATACTGACATTTGTTAATCTAAAAAAGTGACACTCTATGCAACACGAAACTCAAGATGCTGAGAGCAAGCTGGGTTCCTGTTAAGTTCTATATTGTTTTCTTGGGAGATCATAGATAGATATGTTTGTAAAACTTAGGACTTGTGTTCACTTGTTTAATTTCCTAATGAGAGCAGAGCCTGGCCATTATCCAGAACCTGAAGATATCAAGATTCATGCACAGCAGGGCTTCTGCTCTTGGTGCTGTCCCCACAACAGACCAGGGAATTCCCTGCTTGGGGATGTCCTATGCATTGCAAGAGTTTCAATAGCAACCCAGGCCAGCCTCAACTCTCTGGTGCCAGCCCCACACCTACCCTCCCTTGCCACGCCAGTGGCCACAATAAGAAATGTCCAGAAATTGCCAAGTGTCTCTTGAAACCACTAACCTAAGGAAATCAAGGTCCATCAGTGCCCAAAACTCGTAAGCACTCCACCTGCTTTCTTCACCTTCCTGTAAGGTGTTTTAAGGAAACAGCCAGAGCTATACCTGCTAGTGACTTATACAACTAGCTTTGCTGTCTAGTTCAGTTTTCTTACTGTATCTATATCACATACTCCCTTCAACGTTCACCATAAAGTCTGCCATCAGAATGAAGGACAGTGTGCTGACTATCATCTCCACTGTCTTTTGTAAAGATGAAGGTCCCACAGCAGGGATTTTAACAAGGCTGTTGATACCACGGCGAAACTTGACTCACTTAGCTCAAGTGAATGGTTTCACTGTGGTTCTATCCCAAATCTGAGCAAATTTTAAGGGCTTTTTGCACTTAGCAAGTTTTCTTTTTCCAAGAAATAACAAATTCAAATCGCTTAGGATTTCATATATAGCAGATACTGCAGTGGAAATAGTACACATGCAGGGTGTGGTGGCCATCTTTAATCCCAGCAATTGGAGGCAGAAGCAGGTTGACCTCTGTGAGTTCAAAGCCTGCCTGGTCTACATACTGAGTTCCAAGACAGCCAGAGATATATAGAAAGACCCTGTCTCAAAAAAACAAAAACAAAAAGCACACATCACCTCACTCTAGCATTCCAATACTTCTGCAGAGGCAGATAGGGCTGTAGGTAACCCAAGTTCAGGGAATTGCAGCTGTGTAGCTCCTCATCAGCAACCCTTGGGTTGGAACTCAGTTCTGTGTAATGACTAGACAGATGCACTTCCCTGAGCTAGATGACCTCAGTCATTGAGTAAGACAGGTTAAAGTCAAAAGTTCATTACACTAAAGTATGAGGAAAACGTTCACAGTGAAGTTTGATTTTATTTTATGTGTATGAATATTTTACCTGTATATACAATGTCTGTGCACATGTGTGTAATGCCCTCAGAGGTCATAAGAAGGTTTCAAACCTGTAGAAGAAGTTACAGATGGCTGCGAGCCACCATTTGGGTACTGAGGATCAAACCCAGGTCCTCTGTGAAAGCAGCCAGTGCCTTTAACAACTAAAGCCATCACTCCAGCCCTCGAGCATGTGCTGTTTTAAAGACATTCCTATAGAAATGGAGCTGACAGATGTCAAAAGCAACTACTGCTTCTGCAGAGGACCTAGGTTCAGTTCCCAACACCTGTAACTCCTGTTCTATGGGGAACTGACGCCCTCTTCTGACCTCCATAGGCTCCTCAATTCATGTGGTCCACACAGACTCAGCCAGTCACAAACACATAAGCATGAAATTAGTAAGTACATTTTCACAATGAGTTCCTTACAAGTGTTACTGAGAGGGAAATAATGTGGGGTGAGGGAGCACGATTTCAACTACATGACTTGGTCAAAGAAAAGAGTATCTTCAAGAAGCAGCAGGAACTGAGGAGATAAGAGGGGAACGAAGAGGACTGCAGAGACCCTCAGTGGTGAGGAACTACTCTTGCAGATGGCCCAGCTTCAGTTCCCACCATCCACATGATGGCTCACATGATGGAGCTACCCCTAACTCCAGTTCCCAGGGATTCTACTCCCTTTTCTGGTCTCTGTGGGCACCAGGCATGCAGGTGGTACTCATATACATACTTTCCATCAGGACACCAGACACACAGTTATTATGCATGGATACCTTCTGTTGAGGCACCAGGCATACAGGGGGTACTCATATATACCTCCTGTCAAAACACTCAGAAATAAATACAGAGGGGAAGTAAGTTTTAAGAAGCATCTTGTGCCCAGGCAGTGGTAGCGAACACCTTTAATCCCAACACTGGGGAGGCAGAGGCAGGAGAATCTCTGTGAGTTCAAGGCCAACTACAGATAGGGCTGCAAAGAGAAACCCTGCCTCAAAAAAAAAAAAAAAAACAGAGAGAGAGAGAGGAGAGAGAGAGAGAGACCCAGGCATCCTCCTGTGATGGACAAAGGTCAGACTTAGATAAGGCTAAGACTTGGTTTGCTTTCTCAAGAATTCCTGGCACGGCTCCTTCCTCCCCCTTGTTTCCTTGTGACCAAGGTAGGTCAACCAGATGTCACTGTGTCCTTAAGGACTGGCCCTACTCCATGCCCCCCCCACACACACACATAATGTGGCACATTGCCACATTGTGTGGGTTAATCCTGATTGCCAGTTTGATGGGATCGTGCATAAACTAAGAGATCCACCCCCACAATGGATCTATGAAGGCATCCCAGAGAAGGGTTAACAGTGAGGGAAGACCTTCCTCCAGAGCCAGCAGCAACCCAGCTATAAAGAGGCTGGGAAAGCCGCCCTGTTTGCTTCCCTGCCTTGGCTTCCTCTGCTGCTGTTCTAACATGAGAACACAGTCTCCTCTCCTTTCCGCGGGGACTGAAGACCAGAGCATCGCTGAGCATCGTCCAGGCCTTCAGCCTACACGGAGACTGCTGCAGCATTCCGATTCCTAGCCTCAGCAGCCCCCAGGTTCTCAGCCCCTCCACCATGCAGCTGGCCACTCTTGGACCACCCAGCCCCAAGCTGCTGTCAGCAACCCTAGTAAGTATTCTTTATAACATACTCACAGACTATCGGTTCTGATCCTGCAGAGAACCCAGCCCAACGCTCAGGGAAATTGCACTGTTGAAGCAGAGATGGGAGCGGGTCTCTCAAGCACTCTTGACTGTAAGCGCTAGCACACGCCCACCACAAGTTGCTCTTCCTGAATCCGTAGCCATCCAGCCTGCTCCACCCCACCCCCACTTGCTGCTAGGGACTCTTCATTATTACAGGACATTAAGGTGCCTTTGGCAAGCTAAGGTCAGGAGCCTGCTGCATCTGACCCGCCAGTTCTTCCATTGAAAGACTGAGTTTGAAGACTCAAAAGAGTAAAGGAGAAAGACAGAGGTTAAGTCCCCACTGTGAAACAACCAGGCTGTCTATCACAAAGCCCCATCGACCCAATGTCCCAGGGCTGGGGTAAAAAAACAAGCAAGGGCTTTAGCAACGGTGGCACATGCCTTTAATTCCAGTTTAATTCCAGCACTCACGTGGGAGGCAGAGGCAGGCAGATCTCTGAGTTCAAGGCCAGCCTGGTCAACAAAGATATTGAGTTCCAGGACAGCCAAGGATGTTACACAGGGAAACCGTGTCTCAAAAAAAAAAAAAGCAATAGTAGCAACAGCAACAACAACAACAAAAAGGGCTTCGCCAAACACTGTCACCCAAAAAATGAGGCAATTCTCGGCAATTCTCGAACCCTTCCCACTGCCGTGCCTCAGTCTAATGATGATTCAGTTTCTTATGTTCCTCAAGGGAGTGCCTGTCGGCAGCTGTTTTTTAAGCTGCCCCCATCTGCCAGTTCCCCCAGGTCATAGCAGACAGGTACCATCTGTAGGGGATCAGTGGGAGGGGGGATGTCATCTTTCCCCTCAAATGAAAAAGATATGACGGAAGAGAATACCACACTCAGGAGGATTATTTTTAATTTAAAAAAAAAAGATTCTGAAGAGATGTCAGAACCCGCGGTGATCCCCGTCAAAGATTGGGCTGCCCTGAGACCTAGGGCTAAGGGGGGTAGGGAAGTTTATTTTTTGGGGTGTTCAGAGTGGTTCTGGGTAGGCTTGTGAGTCCTCCCAGGTGATTCTGAGTCTCTGGATATGCACTGATCTGTGGGGTTCTCCCAGCAGAACCAGGGACGGGCAGAGGCCCCCAACAGTTGGAGACTGGATGAAGAGCCCACTTTGGGTTTCTCTGCTACTGTTTTGAGGGTGTCAACGTCCAGCCAATAGTTACAGACCCCAACACAGAAAGACCTTTGTTAGCTGCTTTCTAAGCCTGGGGACAAGCCCCTTGAATGAAATCCAAACCCAAAAGTTAGAGATGGAAGACAAACAGTCAAGAGTGATTAAAAAAAAAAAAGATAAATCACAGTTTAAGGCCTTTTTATTTCTTCACAGAGGCTCTGGTAACAGCAGACTGTAAAGGCAAGCCCGCCACCCGCCACTGTGACATCAGACACACCCTTGCAGGATTTCACTGTTGGCTTTTATTCAGGTTTATTAGAATTCTCTTGATTTTTGTTTTGTTTTTCAGGAGAGGAAAACTTGTAGAGAGAACAGTATTGGGTTTTTCTTTTCTTTACAACCTTTGTGGAGTTCGTTGGCTTCTGTTTTGTTTGTATGTGTGTATGTAGTATGTGTGTTGTTGTTTGGGGTTGTTTTTTGAGACAGGCTCTTACTACATAGCTCCAGCTGTCCTGAAACTCACTCTGTGGACCAGGCTGGCCTCAAACTCACAGAGATCTGCCTGCCTCTGCCTCCCAAGTGCTGGGATTAAAATTGTATGCCACCACACCCCAATACAACCTTTGTTTTGACAAAAAAATACAGGTGTCCCATGTAAAAAATTAAAAGTCCTCCTGGTCCCAAGCTGGGGAAAAAGGCAGGCAGAAAAGACAATCTTCAAGAAGACGGTACCTTCCCGGCAGCCAGTGCCTTCTCTGGATAACGCTGTCCAGAGTCTAGCATGGCAGCTTGCACGCAAGGGCTGGAGCAGCTCTGGGGATGATTAACTGCAGGAGCAGCCCGCCATGCCTTTCAGTCCTGCCTGCAGCCAGCAGAGAACTCTGAGGGCAGGATGCAAGGTGTCCTTGTTAGCAGAAAGCCTCCCCTGCCATTAATTGTGTCCAGCGGCCCAGTACACACACACACACACACACACACACACACACACACACACACACACACACACACCACACCAACCAAGTGCAAGCACTGTCAAGAGAAAGTCGGTGGCAGCTCCTCAAGCCAGGCAGACGAAATGCCTTCCTAACCCGAAAGTGTTTCTAATTACAGCAGCTAATTACCAAACCTGCACTGCACTTAATTGCCATGAACAAAATCACAAAAGAACAATTAACAAGGGAAGCCAGAAAGAAAGGAGAGGAAGGAGGGAGCGCATATGCATATAGTTTCTAGGCTTCTCAGTTGTCCCGAAGAAAGCTCACCTAGCACAGAGGCATCAGAAGAAAGCTCACTTAGCACGGCTCAGCAAAAGCATCGGCCGAGAGCAGCCAAAGCACCCGCTACTGAAGGAGCAAGCAACAATGGCGGCTACCTCATTCATTCCTCTCCCTGCCTTGCGTTTCTTCAGCTCATACTGGCCTTCAGCTGGCTCATGGCACTTGCCTTTCCAGTTTTGTCATCATCCCCGAAGTTGCTTTGCATGCGTTACGATTTTGACAAGAGCCTAAAAACTAAGTGTGTTGCCCTCATAGCAAAAATCGGACTTACCCCCAAAATGACGAGACCAAAGCACCCGAGGCAAGGTGCTTGCGTAGCACACAATTCTTACACTGTGGATGGGGTTGTGTCCTTTCCAGGGATTGAAGCCCTACCCTCCAGTGCTTCCAAATGTAACCCCTCTCTGGAAGCAGCCATTGCAAATGCCTGCGGTGTGACTGCTATCCATGACGAGGGTCATCCCACAGGATGTGTCATTATGAAAAGAGGGAATTGGAGGCTGTCGTGGATGGCTCGGTGAGTGAAGTGTTTTTTATGCAAGTGGCGGTGGGTGGGGGTAGGGGGACGGGAGGCGGGTATGGTCCCCTGCCTCCATATAAGTAAGGCAGACATGGCATAGCACTTACGTTTGGAAGGCAGAGACCGGATGGTGCCTGGGGCTCACTGGCTAGCCAGTCTAACCAGTGGGTAAGTTCCAGGTTCAATGAGACACCTTGTCTCAGAAAATCTGGCCAAGATGGATGAAGATACCCAACATTGACTTTTGGCCTTCAAACACACATGTACCAACACACATACACATACACAGACTTACTAAACACAAAGCAGGGGTGGGAGAATTTAGACACACGTATATGGAGATATTAAGATAAACAAGCCATGTGCTGTAAAACCAAGAAACACCAAACCACTGCTAGCAAACTCACAGAAGCAAATAGAAGCAAACAAACCAGGTTTTTCTTCACAGCCCCGCAGAGGAAACCACCCTCCTGACAAACCTTGATCTTGAGTTTGGAGCCTCTAACACTCTGAGACAACAGAAATTTGTTATGTTACAGCAGCGGGACAAATGAACACACCCATCGATTTTAGCTCCTGATGCTCGTCCTCACTGGGCCCTCCCCTGTGAGCTCTTTCACGGCTACCCTTGCTCAACCAGTCGTAACTTCCCACCTGGACCCATTGCATGGGCTCCACAACTGCACCGCCTACTGCCCAACACTTTCCCTTTGTCAGAATTCTGCCATGTGGAACTCTGGTGAACTTCAGGGGCTAAAATGAAAGTAAAAGCCATAAGAGAACTGATAACGTCTGGAGGAGCTTCTGGTGTGTGCCAAGCACTGCTGAGAAACCCAAAAGAAAAGAAAACAGTGCAGCAGAGGTCCAGGTAGAAGGTACGCCGTGCAGAGGGCATCATGGGAACGCGAAGGAGAGGCCTGGCCGGTGAAGGAGGGAGGAGATGCCTTATGAAGGGCTTCCAGGAAACAGAGACCCGAGCCAAGCCCCAAAGCACCCTTTATCCAGACTGCACGTATGCTCACCTGAGAAGCTGATGGATGCAGATGCTGGCATCCTGCTGGCCCTTAGGCACTAGGACTTAATTGGTCCTGAGTGTGGTTTGGTTTCAGACATTAGCCAAATGCCAGATGAACCTAATGAATATATATATTTTTAATCCATCCTTAAGTGCTGTTTCTCTGCAAATTGGAATCACCTGTAGTGTTTTCCTAACAACTCCCTACCCCATGCCTGAGTCCCAGTTCTGGAGATTATATTTAATTGGTCCAAGTACAGCCAAGAACTAAGGCATTTTTTAAGACTCCCCAAGTGGTTGTAAAGTACAGTCAAAGTCAAATCACACTACTTTGAAGGAATGCTTTCCAAACTGGATGTCCTCAGCAATCAGAGGCAGACCTTGCTGACATGCAGATTGGAAATCCATCCTAGGTTAAAGATTCCACCTATGCAGGGAAGCAAGCAGGCTACCTTGGAATTTTCACCTCTCCCTCCAAGTCCATTCCTCCAGTCTCATGCCCAGCTCCGTAACAGACCGCCTGCTGCAGCCTCCCCTCCCTCTGCCCCCATCTGCAGTGGGTCTCACAGATCTCCCCTTCAATCCTCCTTTCCCCATACTCATGAGTCACTCTATCGCCTACAAATAAAATACTTTGACCTCTTCCTTTCCAATTTGCATACCCTTGACCTTTTTCGGTGGTCTATCTCTAGCTAAGACTTCAAGTGCTATATTGAACAGGTATGGAAAGAGTGGACAGCCTTGTCTTGTTCCTGATTTTAGTGGAATTTGCTTAGAGTTTCTCTCCAAGTTGATTTGGCTATGGGCTTGTTGTAAACTGCCTTTCTTGTATTGAGGTATGTCCCTTGTATCTGTAAAAACTCTCCAGGACTTTCATAACGAACGGTCATAGATTTTGTCAAAGACTTGGAGTTGGCATTTTCTTCGGGCCACCAACCAGCTTCCAGACAAAGACATGGAGATTTATTATTATAAATGTCCAGCCTTCGCTTAGGCTTGTCCCATTAGCTCTTTTAACTTAACGTAACCCGTATGTCCGTATTTCCTGATTCCTCCATATCTGGCTGACTGGTCCCTGGCATTTCCCTGGCATCTCTTGTTCTTCCCTCAAACCTAAATTCCTCTTCCTCTCCCTGGCCAGAAGTCCCACCTATATCTCTTCCTTCATTACTGGTTGTTCAGCTTTTTATTAGGCCAATCAGTGACTTAGGCAAGGTAAAACTTTGTCTAAATCAAAAAAGGTTTTCACTTTAACATTGTAAGACTATATACAATAAGAACAATTATTAAGAATTACATTTACACTATCCACTCCATTTGTATTTGGCAAACTCAGAGAAAATATTATTTATCCTACCTTGGTGAGCCTAAAGTTGTATTACTAATTTACTTTCTATCCTAACTTGCATGACCAACCCAAAATTATCTTTTTAGACTTCAAAGCATTTTCTTAAACAATTTAAACTTCTGTGTTTTTCGACCTTATGAGCTTTGTAACTCTTATGTAAGTTTCTTTTCTGAATTTGATAACAAGGAAAACTATAACTATCTCTTCTTCAACTCCAACAGAGACCTGAGAAGGATATAATGTTACCTGAGTAAACAGGAAGTGCAAAGCAAGCAACTTCTAAAACTATAGAAATGACAGAAGTATCTGGCTACCTAGATAATCACCCAAGGTTCCTCTGCAATGTTGGGGAATCCATATTCGGTCTATAGGCCTAGAATATCTGACAGACTTTTCCATGAAACAGGAATTTGAAGGACTATCCCACCTTGTCTTGGCAAAGCTGAGCAGTCTTTTTCTTTTGGATCCTGCTTGTCCAGTTTGTACAGTATACTATCTCCCTGGGTTACCTCTGAGGTTCCTATTTGAGTTCCTAAACTTTCCATTTCCAGATTTCTTTCAGTTTGGGTTTATTATATTATTATTGACTCTATTTCCATTTTCAGGTCTTAAACTGTTTTACTCATTGCCTTCTGCTATTTTTATTTGCACAGTTTTCTTTAAGGGATTTTTTTCATTCCTCTGTAAGGACCTCTATCTTATTCATAAAGGCTGTTTTAAGGTCTTTTTTTCTGTGCTTCAGCTATGTTACAAATTTCAAGGCCTACTATGGTAGGATTGCTGGGCTCTAGTGGAGATATATTGTCCTGGCCATTATTGACTTTGTTTTTATGTTGGCATTTAGGCATCTGTATTTGGGAAAAATTGTAATTTTAGGAGTTGATATCTGGTCTTTGTTGGGTGGGTGCTTTGCTCCTTGGTTTCTGTTGCCCTTTCTGGTTCTTAGGAGAGTGTGGTGTCTGTGTGTTGCCTGGTAAGAAATTCTTCTGGGATCCTGATAGGTGTGGTCAAAGGCATTCCAGGTGAAATGTTTTACTAGGTATTGAGAGCTGTCAATTAGGAATGGGGATGGGATGGTAGGGGAGGGAAGAAAGCAGGTTGTTTCACCAGGATCTACTTTGTCCTCTAGGAATTGGGACAGAGAGTGAGGAGAGGGCAGATGGTCTGTTACACAACTGCTGATGAGACTTGGAGTGATGGAGGGAGCAGTGAAGACCCGTTAGTCTGCCTGCTTTGCTGGCCAGGTTCCCAGGGAGTGGCTGCTGAGTTTGGGGGCTGGAATGAAACAATGGGGGGTTTGGAAGGGAAGATTTGTGTGATCCACTGGAGTCCCCCCAAGCAGAGAGGAAGGAGGGATTGCAGCAGGTGGCCTGACACAGAGCTAGGGATGAGACTGGGGTTTTAGAGGATCTCGAGGAGAGGTGAACCTCTTCAGTTAGCCTGCCAGCTTCCTTGTCTGGAATCTGACCTTCAATTCTTGAAGCTGAAGGGAAGCAATGCTAACTAGAAACTCAGTTCTACTCAAAGAAAGACTGTCAGGAACGAACAATGGGTAAATATATGACAGCTTCGATTTTCTTCATAAGATGACTGTTTATTTAAAGCAGAAAACAATGGAATATTGTTGGATATATGAATTATGTGGAATTAAAATGTAACACACCGGTAACTCTTCCCCCACCTCTCCATCTAGCCACACCACAGCCAGATCCAGGTGCAATGACAAGGAACTAAATTTGAATGGATCCCTTCCTAAGCGGCCTCTGTCAAACATCCCCTTGCATTAGTTACTTTTCCTGCTGCTACATCCCTGACAAAAGCAGCTGAAGGGAGAAAGGGCTTATTTGGGTCCATCGCTCAAGGGTGCAGAAGTCACAGGGGGGGATGTCCTGGAATCGGGAGCTTGAGGCAGCTGATCCCATCCCACCTGCAGCCAGGAAGCAGACAGCAATGATCTTACTTAGTTACTACCTAGTCAGCAGCCCCAGCCCAGAGAGTGGTGCCACCTACATTCAGGGTGGGGCTTCCCACCTGAATTAACTTAATCTAAATAATCCAGTGAAGTTGACAACATTAATTGTCACCCCTGCAAACCTCAAACTCCTTATGATCAATGGCGTCATCGTTGTCTTTCAAGGTTTTAGACAGTTACAGAGATTGTGCTGATGGTCTATAAGGCCCTACTTGGGCCCTAGGAAGTTCCAGAGCCTACTGAGACCAGCAATGATCATTCAGTGTTACAAAATTTCCCACCCAGTTCCACAGCCACCTTGCCCCAAATGAACACTCAGAGACTTATATTAATTATAAAACTGTTGACCAGTGGCTTAGGCTTCTTATTGGCTAGTTATGTCTTAATTATTAACTGATTTCTATTAATCTAAGTATTTCCATGTGATCTTATCTTACTGGAGACTGCCTGACACATCCTCTCTTCCTGGGCCCTCTTCCTGGGCTCACTCCACGACTCCTATCTGACTACCCTTCCCAGAATTCTCCTCCTCTGGTAGCCCTGCCTATCCTTCCTGCCTGGCCACTAGCCACACAGTGTTTTATTCATCAACCAATAAGAGAAACATATACACAGAAGGAGAACCCCATAAAATCAGTAATCTTCTCCTTGTCCTCAGCTCC